TGGCCTGAGGTTAGGCCCTCCCATCTGTATCTGGGCACCAGAAATAACAGCTTTTTCTTTTTTTTTTTTTGTGTCCTTCCAGCTACTGGAACGCCCCAGCGCAGAGGACGGACGCAGGGCAAGGGCTCAAAACTTTCAGCCCACTTAGGTGCCTCGACACAGGTCTGGGAGCAGCCTGGAGGGAAGGATTTGGGAAAACCCCGGCCCCGGCTTGCATGGGTCTGCACAAACACGCAAAGCAGCGCCGGGATCATCTCCTGGCCGTCACCCCCCTCCCCAAATAAAGGCAAACGGAGCCTCAGCTGTACTGGCAGCAAAGCCCACTTCTGGCGTGAATCTACGAGCACGGACACGCTGGCTTTTCCCAACCGCTTCCTGTATTTCAGGGCACGCTTTGGAGATTCCTCAGCCTTTATTCCGCGTCTTAACTTGGGGAATTAACTCTGACGGGCCGCAAGGGGAGAGGTTGGGTTACGGGACCGCGTCGAGCCGGCACCAGACCCAAGATGCCGCAAAAGCCCCAACGCAGACCTCAGAAGGGAGAAAAAGGCCGGGGGAAAGGGAGGGAGGAGAAAACACCGGCTCCAGATAAGCAATTGTTAACATGATCCATATGGTACGCAGCTCGCCTCTCTGTTTAACCAAAATGATAATGGCAAAAGGGAAGAATGCGGCGGGGGCTCCGCGGGAGAACAAAGGCAGCAGCGAAACCCTTCCCCGCTCCAGAGAAAACGAATTGGGAGCGGGGAGAGCCCACGGCTGCTCCCCCCACCCCGAAACCCAGCCGGCTCGCTCCTTCTCCCCCGCAGACGCTTTGCAAGGCAAATGCAGAGCGGGGAGTGCAACTGCAGCAGGAAAATAAAATCATAAAAAAAAGAAATAAAGCTGAGGGGTATTCGCAGGGGCGTTTTCATAAGCAATAATAAACTCTGAACATGAGCTGCGGCTCGGGACCAGCGTCAGATGTAAACACCGAGCCCGTTCCTCTCGGATCTGGGATGAATTCAGCCCTGGGTGTTTATGTTATTGCAGGACCCTGTGGCTTTCCGAGGAACACAATACAGTCCATGCCATTCATTATCCCCGCGGTCCCCCAAGAGAAAATGTCAACACACTTCTGCGAGAGAGAGCTAAAACAAATGTTTAATGGGATAAACAACTCCCGGGCCTCAGCCCCCGCCGAAATGTTTCATTCAGAACCGCCCCTAAGAACAAACAGGCGCCCGAGCCGCACGCTGGCCT